AAGTTTAAGAAAAATTTTGAAACAAAATGGCGCAAAAAGTTTTCCATGGAAAAATAATATTAATTTGAAAACTTTTCCTAAACTTTCGAAAGTACCTCGGGCCAAAAACAGAAAATCTTCTGGATTATCGAGTGTGCTGAATACGAAGAACCGCTTTTCAGCAACTCTAAACCCACTTTATTTTTTTTCCGATGATATGTTAGAAAGTATTTTTAGGGTACTTTCTCAAAGAAAGGTCTTATAAAGTACCAACACCTCAAAATCTTCAGGACACTTTTCTCTTGAAGTTAGGACATCTCAGAGCTTTGAGCGCCTTACCATTTGAAAATTATAAGAGAAACAAAATGCAAAAAAACCGTGACTGAATTACACTTCGGTAGCAGAGTTAACAGATCAAGCCGTTCACTAGATTGTGAATATGACTCGTTGATTTGAATTGAAATAAGACTTGCGACCGTTGAGAAATAATACAGTAAGACGACGACGATCTTTATCTGTTGAATCGACATATTCCGAAACTAGTTATAAAAAATATCTTTATCCCTTCAATCATTGCAATGATAATAGAAACATAGTTGTTACCATAAACAAAAGCTTACTTTGTTTCAGAAAAAATCGAACACTGAAGCAACATACTTTGTTGATTAACACATCATCTACTAAAAAGCATTTTCATTTTCATATAATATGCGAGAAAATCATGTCATCCGTGGCACTTGCTCACACCAAGGAGAATGAAAACGGTCGTTTACGGTACCATTGCTGGGCAGTTTTTGCGCCGTATTTAAGACGTTAATAGGGCGTTTTTGTGTAACTGTTATGCTTGACCTGCGAAAAAGAACACCGAGACATAATTTACAATCACTGGGGCTGTAATTTCGCTAGAAAGTTCGCTTGGTCAAACAGACATCAATAAGAATTTCTTATTATCGCACTGTTTTTGAACTAGAACCGATTTACCCATTGTAATTATTATTGTTTCATAGCACAAATTAAATATTTTGAAATCTTTCTCTTTCAACTTTCAAGTAATAGTCTACTGTGTCTCATCATTTTATATCTGAGATCCTCAGGATTATGGTAACCTGAACTTTTCTGGAGATTTGATTGCTCTTTGAGCGCTGACAACGATTAAAAAAACGATGAGCACGCCTATTTTTCTGACATATCGTTTCTTCGACGAACTTTTGCATTTTGCAAATAAATTTTAGAAATAAAGCTATTTGCATTTTGTCGAGATATATCTGAACTCAATGCTTACGTTTATTGAAAGCACACAAGATTTTTGAGCATATTCACATGAGACTAAATTTCACATTAGTGACTCTTACCATCGTTTGATATGACAGTCTAATATAAAGCGTAAGGTCTTGTTTGTGGAAGAGCCGTATCACGTTATTCTTTATTATTTGGCGATAAAAAAATGAATAAGATTTTCGGCTTTTCCCAGCGGAAGAAGTTTCGATTAAAATTTTTGCCGAAGTTTGTCTCGGATACTTTACCGAATTTTAAAACTGCTCTTTTTTTTATTCGAAAAAGTCAAGAATCATGTGAATAGCGTAAATTGATCTGACACTTGATATGCAAATATCTCGTGCACTTGTATGCAACATATAAACTTTCCAAGGTCATGCACACTTTTTCCAGCGCTATTGTCGTACAGATGGAGATCTGCATGGACAACTTTTGTTCTATCCATGTCCATGGACAGACCATCTGCCTTGTCCATGTGTCCATGAACAAAAGAAAAATTTTATCTATGTCTATGCTTGTCCATGAGTGAACAATACTTTTTGAAATTATTCTAGAAAAAACATGGAGTAGTTTACTTTCAGTAAGTAGAATAATCTATTTTATATGTGTGAATATGACTGAATAAAAGAAAAAGTAATATGATATAGGTAGACGAAACTACTTCTCTTTTACTTCATGACTAACGAGGGAATATATGTAACTGACCAATCGTTTTTTTAATGAAATCTGGTGGAATATAGGTAAAAAATAGTGCTGAATCCGAATATCGGCATGAGACGGGCCGCTAGGCCTTGCGAGTACCGGATTTCTGGGAAACCAGGTTTCCAGAGCCAGAAACTTTTTGTTCCAAAACTTTTTTCTGATCTGTCTCGATTGTAGAGCACATCAAGAAACCTATAAAAAACTAGTTTTGGGATTTTTTATAGTGTTAAAAAACCTCAGCGTACGGAAAAGAGAAGAAAAGTCCGTCTGGCGGGCTGTGGAAGGGTTCCAAAATTCTGAAAACTAGTTTTTTATAGGTTTCTCGATATACTCTACAATCGAGACAGATCAGAAAAAAGTTTTGGAACAAAAAGTTTCTGGCTCTGAAACCTAGTTTCCCAGAAATCCGGTTTGAGGAGTCAAAATTAATGATTTCATCGGCTGAGTTTCATCTAAATGTTAAAATGCGTTGAACTTGCTTATCCTAAAATCTGAAAAAATCCGGAATTTTTTTTCTTAAGATCATGAAAGAAACGGAAACCCGTTTTAAAAATAAATGTAGTTTAAACTAACCTATTTTCACTGCCTTATTTAGCCTTTTTCTACTGCGCAAAGCGCCAAAAAAGGTTTCTTCCGTAGCTCTCTATGATTTTACTTGATAAAATAAAGGAAAATAACAAACATAAATATAAATTTCGATCTTAATCGACAAGCTGATTTTTGAATGTGTATTTTTGATCCGAAAAGCAACTGGCACTTTAGCTGGGATATAATATGAGAAAGGCGACCTCCACAAACTACAGATAAAAAAAATATTTAAAAATCTTCATGATCAGGAAAAAATAGCCAAAAGCAGAAAATTCTCAAAATTCGGACAAATACGGCACACCGGGTAAATTCCGGAAAAAACTCAAAAAATCGAAATTTGTCCGGAAAATCCGGACAAGCTGGCAGCTACGAATATAATACATCATCCTTAGTATATCAATTATATTTTTTCTCTGTGTACATGTTTTTTCTTTTCTTTGCGTTGTTGTTATTGGCTTCAGTGCGGCTAACTCCCATATATTTGAAAAGAAAAGAAGACGAAAAATATATGAATTTATATATGCATTTTGTTGTTCGCAAGATTCTTCTAAGAATAGACCTGTTGCAAGATGAAGGAGAAGGAGAAAGAGAAGAATATTCAAGCTTGTATACAAGCTTGAATATTCTTCTCTTTCTCTTTCTCTTTCTCCTTCTTCTTCATCTTGCAACAGGTCTATTTACAAGAAAAGATTCTTGGATGAAATCACAAGACAGAAATTAAAACAAAATAGAAAAGGAAAGAAAATGACACTTTTTCGTAGCTCTCTAGTCGGACAAAACAAGACCTCAGAATCAGGTCAGACCTATACATCTGGTTCTCAACCACTGTAAACTACATTCACATTGTAGACTACGCTTTATTGTTTCTTTCTTTTCTGTGCTTTACATAGAAAAAGTCTATAGATATAAAGAGGAAAAAATGTTGTCATCTTTGCGCTTCACCTGTGGTAAAGAAAAAACAAAAAAAAGATGCTTCGTCAGCGATTAAGTTTCGTGACGCAAATCCTATTTTCACGTTTTTTGTTATTTTCTTCGAAAGTGAGCAACAAAAAGAAATATTCACAGATTAGAACGTTCACCTCTACGCACGTAATCAAAATTGTTAATACAGATCTTACAATAAGTCTTTGAAATCTATAGGTAAACATGTTTTGTTTTAAATCGTTTCACTGTAAGTGTTAAATACAGCTCAATTAGAGCCGTCCTTTTACAGCAACCGTAAATTGACGGCTTAAAAATGTACAGTAAACGATAGAAATTCTCCATTTTTATTTTTATTACAATGAACGGATCATTTCGATTACTTTCCTTCTTATTTTACTATTACTATTGTGTTCGCCTTCCAGAAACTCAGAAGTTTTTAATCTCTCAGACTAAAAAACAAAAAGAATTAATTACCGTTGAAAATAATAGAGAGAAGCAAATATTAATTGGTATTTTGTAATATACGATGATGAGTGTATCTGCAAACGGCAAAAAACATTTTTCAGAGAAAACTGTAAAACTGTACTGTAAACTTTGTACCCGTCCCCGACTTATGCCTAAAAATTTTCTCGTTTTTGTTTTCCAACTGAAAACTTTTATTTTTTGGCTAAAGATGTCAAATTATCATTGGGTTCTCAAGTAATTCTTTTTTAACCTTCATGTGTTTTAGCTAAACTCATGTATTTTTTCACTAAAATCTTCCCGTTTTCGAGTAAATTAAAAAAAAATAGAACCCGTACCCGACAACTTCGTGCCCGTACCCAATCTTCGGATCGGGTCGGGACGGATGTGAGTCGAGTTGCACATCTCTATAGAGGAGTTTCTAACAGTTAGAAATGTGAATATCTTTAATCTTTCATTGTCACACATGTTGTGAAGGACATAGACTACACAACAGATATGTCTTCTGTACAGGTACTTCGCGATACGACTAAGATCCCTTCAAGACATTTGCAGAAGCGTGAATATAACGGGTGACTATAAAGAATGAATCGTTTGATACTTTGATGAAAAATACAGAGAAGTTCCAAAATGGTCAACTTTCTAAAGTACTTCTCAGCGTATTCAAATTGTTTTTTAAAAAACGGTGCACTCGGGATACTACTCAATCGCTATTGTCTTCCTTACTGCGGACGTCATCAATGTGAGGTCTAATGCATTACACTACTCTTAGTGATTATTCTCACTGAAGAAAAATAATGTTTTTAGTCGAAAAACTATTAGGTTTTGTAATGTCTATATGATAAAGTATTCTCTGTCTTTTCTCATTAAAATGGTTGATGTCTCCGTAGATGACCAACAACGGTATGCTTAATGCACGGACCATTTCTACGCGGGTTATCTTATGCAATTAGAATTTCTACTAGTAGAACTTAAAAAAACAAATTTTAGATGGGTTCACTTCTTACATCTTTAAATACTTCATTTCAGTTTAAAAGATTTACGACATTACACGCCATGGCTGATGACAAAGATCAATTGATCGAAATTGGACCAGGATTTTGGAATGTTCGTCATTCATTCAAAGTTCTAATTGGAATGGTTGATATTGAAACACACATGTCTGTTATTCAATTGAAAAATGGAAATTTTTTAGTTGTGGATACGATTCCACTCAAAGACAATGTCAAACAACAATTGGATAATTTGACAACAAATGGAAGCAAAATCGAAGGTGTTCTGGGGACACATCCGTTTCATACATTAGCATTTTCCGATTTTTATAAAGCTTACCCAAATGTACCATATTACGGAACACCAAGACATATCAGCAAATGTACAGACATTCAATGGGCAGGAGATCTAAATGATTGCGATACAAGAAATAAGTGGGCGCCTGAAGTTCAAATGAGAATACCGGCAGGTACGTATTTCTGTCTCATAAATTTTAATCTGCATTTTGAACGTGAATTTTAGGTGCTGAGTTTGTAAATCCTCAACCAGAGAGTTTTAATCATTTTATCTGTGTATTTGTTTATCATCATCAAAGTCGTACACTTCATGTTGACGATACACTAATGTACTCACCGAAACCAGGATTTCTTTTAAAATTATTTGGATTTAAAAATGGCTCAATGGCATTCCATCCTTCAATGAAGGGACCTGGACTTTATCCAACCGTTGAGGCTCCCTATCAATTTCGAGATTGGATGAGACAAATTCTCAAAGATTGGGATTTTAATGTAAGCAATGAATCAATGCCGTTTGAGCAGCAAACAAATTAAATTGAATTATAGAGTTTATAACACTTAGATCCTCATTTCTGAATAGAAATTAGAAAAAAACGTAGTGATCCAATTCTAAGTGATTGTTCAAATGAATAATTGAAGAAGTGTGAGCGATGAGTGTGAGGTCAATTTTTTGTATCAAATACAAGAACGATAGCCTTAATAACCAGAAACAATCAAATATGATATAGAATTTTGAAAATTTCGGATACAACATTTCTAGTATAGTGTGACAGATGAAGTCTTAGAAGCAATTTGTGAGAGGTAAAGTCGTTTAGATAATATATTTTTTCTCTTGAATTCTTTAATTTGATCGCTACCCTACATAAACCATATTGGATCACACTTCCAAATAACGACATGATTTGAATTACGTCTATTGTATTTCTAGAATATTTGTTGTGCTCATATTGGAAATAAAATTGGTGGTGCAAAAGCGTTAGTTCAAGAAACTTTGGAAAAGGCCGAAAGCGTTTTTCAAAAATTAAGTGACAAAAATAAGAAGAAAAATCCGAGCAATGATGAAGCACATCATTCGGCAATTTCATTCAATGTCAAAGGAGAAGAATGTGGATAAATTACAAGGCAATCTCACTCGAAAAGTACTTCATGTTTTTTGTTTTTTGCATTGTCCCATTATTTTATTTTGTTCTATTCAACAGATGGTTGCATAAAAAAATAATTTTTTATAAGAAGGGAACTATTGTTGTTTAGCACTAAAAAACAGCAAATAAAAGAAAATAGTACTACATGTTTTTTATATCATGTTATCCAATGAGTTTCATAATATTTTTCAGCTTGTCATTTTTTTCATTTTTTAAATTCTTCTTATATCTTTACATTTGTCTAATTTTTGACTTTATTGTGCGCTAGTTGTTAGATAAATAAAATAAGAATGTTAATTATGAGTTGATCAATAAATCGGCTCTCAGAAGCAAAGTGTAAAACCAAAACTCTAAAATAAAATTAAAATATCAGTGAAACAAATAAGTATATTTAGCTAGAGAACATCTGGTTTTCAAATACAAAGTAGATAAGATAAAAATGCGTTGTTTGTTCATGTTTATAATTTGTTTCTTTGATATTTGAATACAAATATGATCATTTTAACACCAGCTATAAATTGTGACATGATAATTTATTATTGAAAATTAAAATAGTTGACGTTTCGAACAATTAATGTTCATTTTCAAGAGAGGAATAAAAAAATATATAAAATTGAACACAAAATAAATGCAGGCAAACACTTTCTAAACGAGAGTAAACTTGAACACATGTCATGCATGATTCACTGGATTTTGGGTATTAGACAAAGAACAGAACGAATAAAATGTTTACAGATGCTGATTGTTCTCTGTGTTATTCTAACCCCCATATTTATCATTTTTAAGTTTGTCTGTTTTTTTTCGGTTCAAACTTACTTGGACAGTAGTACGTTCTGGATAAATAACAAGCGGAACTGATCTTTTTTTGTGGCATTGAGAATAGATTCTCTTACTAATAGACAACACGGTCAATAATTTTCTAATTTCACTAGTCAATTTAATGATGAGTCTCATTTTCATGTTTTGCAAGAGCCGGCTCTATATCGAATCGTTTATCTGACGTCACATTAATATTCAGCAGAAAATTCATAGCATTAGCCAGAAAAATACGACCAAATGCCCAAATCTTGATTATTGCTCGTTCTCCACCAGCCGTCAGATAATGATTTCTCAATAAAGACACCATTTCAAAAATTCAATGAAAAATTGTATATGAAGCTCATTGTCAAGATTGTGATGTCACTATATGTAGGGAAAACATTAAGGCAAGGAATCGGGAGATCTAAAGAACATGAAGATCTCGATCTTCAGTCACAATCACTTTCACAAACTAATACAAGGACCATTTAGATAAATACTACTTCACAAAATTTCAGACAATCACAACGGCAAAGGAAGAAACCGGAAATATATGGATTTTCAGGCAATAGTGAGGCAGAGCACTGAAAAAAAACAAAGGTGCGATACGGAACTTAAAGAGGGTTTCGTGCACGCTACGAAACTTAAAAAGTGTTTCATGCACACTAGGGAACTTAAAAAAGATTTCGAGAATTGGAACGATTTTTAAACCCTTTTAAAGATTTGGTAGGAATCTACGAAATCTTAAAAACGTTTCCTAGATCCTTGATAAAACTTGTTAAGGGTTTCGTACATTCCTAAGAAACCTAAAAAGACTTTAGAAATCGTTTCAATTCTCGAAACCTTTTTTTTCCAGTGAGGGAAACACCATTAATGTGACGTCAGATAAACGATTCGATATAGAGCCGGCTCTTGCAAAACATGAAAATGAGACTCATCATTAAATTGACTAGTGAAATTAGAAAATTATTGACCGTGTTGTCTATTAGTAAGAGAATCTATTCTCAATGCCACAAAAAAAGATCAGTTCCGCTTGTTATTTATCCAGAACGTACTACTGTCCAAGTAAGTTTGAACCGAAAAAAACAGACAAAAGTAAAAATGATAAATATGGGGTTAGAATAACACAGAGAACAATCAACATCTGTAAACATTTTATTCGTTCTGTTCTTTGTCTAATACCCAAAATCCAGTGAATCATACATGACATGTGTTCAAGTTTACTCTCGTTTAGAAAGTGTTTGCCTGCATTTATTTTGTGTTCAATTGCGTTCAACAACAATTAGAAAAACTGATGAATCATATTTAAACTACAACTTTAAATAAATTTTTTTCAGAATATTCTGATCTTACAGACTATATGTCTGGCTTAGAATAGAACAACATCGTCTTCTCTATTGTGATTGATGTTTCACCTTTAATCATACTAAGTCATGACTGTAAAAATCGTGACGTTACTGCAGAAAAGTGACTATAGCATAAGAAAGTAGATGAAAACTGAGTCGGAATCCATGTTGCTTTCTCTGTTGTCTTGATTCAAAAATCTATAGATTTTTAAATACCGTTCATGATTTTTTAAATCAAAAGTGTGTATCCCAGTCAGAATATACAAAATAGCCTGATCAAGATATTATCCCGTTCGGAATATGTGCAGAAATAGTTCGATGCTTTTCTGAGTAGCTGATAAAGGAGTTCAGTTTCAACTAATCTACTCGCACCGCCTGCGTCATTCCTGTTCAATGTTATGGATAATACTTAAGCAAAAAAACTAAAAAAGTTAGCAGATTTTTCGGTGTATTTTAAACTACATAAACTAAGAGGCCTATATTTTTTTTGCGCTAAAATACCAAAACGGCGCCGTAATCGCAGCAAATTTAATAATAGTATACACTCAAAGTGACATGATGATTTGGCGTATTCTATTTTGCGGATCGATAATCGTTTGGTCAACAGCAAGGTGCTGAATATTTTGAGTGAAAATGATTATTTTATTAGCAAAAACTATAGATTTGTTTGTAATTTATGTGTAAAAAGAACAGAAGATGATATCATATCTATCTTCGTTCAAAAATCATTCAAAAAGCGATAGCGTTCATTGTTTTTTGATGGATAATAAATCATTTATGTCTCTTCTATTACTTTTTTGTCGACTCGTTTATTAGAAAAAACATTTTTCTTTCAAATAAAATCTTCTAGATCTACTAAATGTATTTCAAAAAAGTTATAATCATTTTTTACGCGATCCAAAAAAGGATAAAAATACTATTGCATAACTTGGCAAAAGAGAACGAATAGTAGCAAAAGTACAAAAGAAATTTTTAATAGAATGTAAATAAAATTCATTCAAATTTAAGTAGGAAAAAACAAAAGTTCTCTTCTGTCCGTGGATAGAGTTTATTTGGAGTTAGGAATAACTTAAGCTAGTATAACCCTCCACATGCTCTGTCCCTCTCTTCATGCGTAATTCATGAGCTACGAAGGGCTGTAGGTTTAAGCTCTCGCGTGATTCCTTACATCTTGAGGCTGGAGACTTAGGGTAGCTCCAGCCACCCATTTAGCTAATTACCTCACGAGTCCAACTAACTGTATCTCTTCTCGTTCGAGCTGCCTAGATTCGAGAGCGGATCACCCATTTTGGCCTGACGCCTAGGTGTAGTCAAGAGACGAAGTCTAAGATGTTACAGGAAAGAGAGCTTACATTTAATCTAAAAGAATTCTGTTCGTTGAATTTCTAGAGAGTCTCTAGGAAGCACTTGACTTTTGAGCTGTTTCGCATTTGGAAAGAAACATAAATACATGTCACCATTATTAAGTCTTCCTGATGTCTGGAATTGGGTGAAATATTGACTCATGAGCATTCTGCTGGTTCAACGATTCAGAGATGAACGTTACTAGTCACTTAGCCATTACTTACGGCCAAAAGATTAAACGAGTTTCAGCGAACGTTACTTGTGTTTTATTGATCAGATCATTATTCTGTACTGATACGCACTAAACATTTTTATACTACATTAATCATGAACAAAGAGGATCTGAAAAATACTGATAAGAAAAGAGTGTTTATTCTCAAAAATAAATAACAAAGATCGATTGCACATAACAAACTTCAATAAAAAGAATTCAGAAAGACATACAGTTTCACGAAATATACATTACACTAATTTAAAATTCAACTAACATCTTACGATCAACAGTTCTATAAAGTATTAATTTCGCCCATAATATTGACACGTCGATTTTGACATTTTTTTGATATTTCTTTAACAACCTATCAAAACAACAAAAAAAACTTAAGCTAATAAGTAAACTGATCATTGGTGAGAGTTTGCAATAGTCCAATAGCTCATTCACATTTAATTTTATGCTTCTTATATCAGAAATATGATATTTTTCGTGAAAGACTGATGTTCAGTTACGTGTATAATCAGAAAGCCGGCAAGGACAGATATTACAATATGAAAGCAAAGTATATACTCTTCAAATCACTCAGTGGCGGATCCAAGGTTTTTTAAAGGTAGGATGTGATCACACCAAGCGTACCTCGCCTAAATCCGCCACTGAAATCACTATCGAATTTGTCAATATTTAAGGCTACTGCTTCAAAAGGTTTTTCAACAACTCTAAAAAGGTTTTTTTTCAAAAACAAAACTATAACATAAAACTCTTGAAAGTATATCAATGCCATTGTAGAGCAAACATTTTTGCTTTAAAGATCCCTCACAGCTTCAGGCAATATTCTAATCAAGCATTCCACAGTTTTGTCAAAATTTCTAAAATTCGCCGATTATACTAGCATTTCTCAAAAGCAAAGGATGGGGGGCTTATAAGGGTCTAAATTTTCACTTGATATTTCTGAACAAGAGTTACATATTCAGAATCAGTGTGAAATTCTGCGTCGAATGGGTATATGGCACCTTGGAAAAACCATTTTCAATTTTTCGG